GCTGTAGATAGGAGCTTTCTACTCTTATTTCCCATTCAAAAAATATATTTTTCTTTTAAAGAATAGACTTGGAGGACTTAATGTTCGTGACTGTATATGAAGCAATTGGCAGTGCAGGTCTATAAAATGCCAAAGTTTAAGTAATTAGAAGCAGGGAAGATGTCAATAGGTGCCAAAATAAATTGTCAAATGGAAGGAAGAAGTAGACTACATTGGTGTATGATTTAATTGGAAAGCAATAGAAGGTGAAATCTTTGTCCCTTGGATGCTGTGCCTGCCAGCAATCCGACAAGATGAAAACTGTGTAGCAACAGCCTCATGTTGTGCAGGTATCTAGAAGAGACATGCATTTTACCTAATGAAGTATCCAATCGATGATCTAGGGGTGAATTAAGATTACCACCAAACACCAAAATACCTTCCTGAAAGCCAGCCAGCCATGACAAGATTCTAGACAAGGAAATATGTTGCCAAGTATTAGGCAAGTAAACAAAGGTGAAATTGTTAACATTGCAAATAGTACATTCAATAAAAATTTATCTCCCCTCCTGGTCCCTTATGAAATCTGAAAACACAAATGCGAGACAGCAAGAAAGAAGGATGGCAGCGTCACAGGTTTTAGCAGATTGAGAATTGATGTAGAATCCCAAAGGATACCTGTTGTTTTTCTTAAGAGGTCCTTTGGCCTCTAAAAAATTAGTTTCTTGTACCATAACCATGGTAATTTTGTATTGTCATGAAAGACATTTGTGACTAAGCTATTCAAATTTTTAATTAGGAAACTAAGATGTTCATCAAGTGAAATTTTGAGGGGTTTCATGAGATTAAGATGGGTGTAGTCAGGGTTATCCAAAGTCTGCACTTGTTGTCAATATCAATCATATTTACCCCCTTATTTGTCAGATCATCCCACAGAAATATTTGTATTTATTTTTGCTTGATTTTCCCTTTTTTAAAATACGGAGGACATTATAAATCTACCCAATTTACTGTTAAGTCCACTATGAAGTACAAAATGTCTCTAATGTCAGTGTGAATTTAACTTTAGTGAGCGAATTCAAGGCAGCGACATATGCTCCTTTTTTGAATAATTATGATATTTGTAGATGTGACTATACGTGTTTTAATCTAGGTGCATTTACCAATTCGAGACAGACAGACAAGTCTCAAGAGAAGTCTCATTTCTCTTAGGAATTGGTTGTAAGAGCAGTCATTGGTTGGCTTTTCGTTTGACTGTTTTTTGGGGCTGAAGAGCAGAAGAACTATTATTATGCTGTGGGCGGGTAGGTAGGGACATTGAAATTTTATGGTGGTTGGCTACAGGATTGCAGACCCTGCTGCCCATGTGTGGGGTCTAGAAGGCATTAGGTCTTCCCCAAATAAGTATAAGTAGAGCCCCCATCAATGGGAAGTGGTTGGGGGAGAGACCAGGTTCATCCCCCTTCATAGTTATAATTATAATAGCTCCCACCTACTGATCATGGATGGAGGAGCTGGGGCATAAGGATGTTGGCCATTTATTTTTTCAAAATCCACACCCGCTGGCTACAGTAACCCTCCATAACTTATTTAAAATATACCCACTTTTCTAGTAACAGGTCACTTTTTTTAAAAACAGTTTTGTAGCCATGCCCCCATCATTACACCTGGGGGCATAGGGAGATCAAACCCCCATGCAGTAATATGGGGACCAAAAAGACCAACACAGGCGTTTTATTTATTCATCTATCTTTTTTTAATGTGGTGGCTAGCTAGCAAGAGTTGGCCAAACACCACACAATTAACCATTGCATCATCAAGGATTATTTAACTATTTACCCATCAGCTACTAGCATTGATAGCAGGCAAACAGTTTGGATTATTATTAAATCAAAGTGCAGATCTGAAGTTCAACGGAGTTCAGACTCGCTGAAATTCAACTTGAGGCCCATTGAATTGCATAAACAATGTCCAGATTTTGCAGTGTGAATTACCTCATATGCAGCTGGAAAGCTTGCCCCATTTGGTGTGGGGCCATTCAGACTTTAGTGAATTACCCAGTATGTTTATTGTAATTGCATTACTCCTATATAGTACTGAAGAATATGATTGTGCTTTAAAAATCAATTCATTAAAATAACAAACATTGCTTACTACCCATCACAGTTATTTTTTTGTTCACTGCAATATTTTTATGCCACATGGAAAGATGATGATGCATTATTCTATAGCGGATATGAAAACATCTGACTTTCATTGAAAAAGCACTTAAGCAGCCTCTGTGTTTTTGGCAAGCGCATCACAGTGGAACTACATCATTATAATAAGTGCTCGTGTCTCCTAGTACATGGTTAATTACATAATCAAAATAAATGTAAATTTCTTCCAAAGCTTTCTTCAGTCGTGCAGTGAGCAAATATGGTGCAGAACATATACACTTTTTAAAGTAACAGATGTACAAATATCCAAATACAAAAAAGCAGCACATTGCAAATGCAACTGCTCCTTCCTATTAATAAGCAAAAACACAATATAAAACATAATGATTGTAGGTAACAACAAAGCAATTTATACATACAAGGAAATTTATATATATGTCCAAAACAAATTGACATACACTTGTTTGGAATAATACTTTGATTATTGAGATTTAATAAAGTTTAAGACTTAAAAAAGAGAAAAATAAATATATAGTGTAGAGTGATCAAAGTGCTCCTAAGAATGCTTGTTGTGGTATAATCCCCACCTAGGGATTAACTGGGATGTAAAAGGTAGAATCTTTTTTTTTTCCATCCAACAAAATAAATGAAAAAGCATGATAGTATGAAAAAGTGTGAATGCTAACAGCAAATTCCATTTACATACTACAAAAAGGCTAATTTAGGTGGTACAGCCTAGGGTCACTCAGTGCTCATACATGGAAAATAGAAGGTATAACCCCCAATTCGTACACACTGATCACAACATTTAAACTACTTGTGACAGTAGTCACCGTCACTGGGAATGGAATACAGACACTATGTGTGGATCTCCAGATTCCTTCTGTGTTTTGGTCACCCTGTGTCCATTATTGGTGAAGGTTTTTTTTAACGTATTGCTTGTCTGTGCCTCTCCCCCTCCCCCTCCTCCATTTTCCTATCCTATTGTTTCCTCAGCAGGGTGTTGTCCCAGGGACACTGCCAGACCAGTTTAAACTAGCTGCTTTGTCCCTCCTCAATCTCTCATCAGCCCTTGCTATTGTCTGACCCCACCCTTCCTTATACTATATTAATTTATGCACCATTTTATGTAAATGAGGCTGTTTGGGGCTTAAATATGTGTGCCAAGTCTATTAAAGTTGGTTGTTGTTTTAACCTTCACCAAGTGTCATCTGGTGTTTGGTCCAGGGTAGAAAAGGCCCTCAGTGATCCCAGTCAAGCCTCGGCGACTAGGTCTGAAGTGCTCCAGAGTCCCTGATAGCTACAAGGAAGCAGACTTGGCGGAGGAACTTGGTCGAAGTACTAGAAATCTGTCACAATTCGTGACAAGCGGTAGAATGGCTTCCTAGTTATTGGGGGAACATCCCTGCACATCGTCTGAAACTCAGAGAGATGGATAGAAATAGCACCCGTGCAGTGTCCATATCTGAGGAGGCGTTCCAAAGGAGACTATAGGAAGCTCTGTCCCAGTATGAGGTCTGAAGTGCTCCAGGGTCCCTGATAGCTACAAGGAAGGAGACTTGGTTGAGGTACTCTGCTGGAGTACTGGAGCTCTGCTACATTTGCTCTGTCACACCACCTGCCTAATACTGTGCATCTGTCCCCCTCGTGCTGCCCAAACAGCTCTAGTGCATGTATTAATAAAACTAACTAAAAATACTAATATTTGTGTTCAGCGATGTCTAACGAGTACAACAGCACCCCCATGTACAGTTTTTATGGCCTTTCCCCTTTTCAGTTTTTACACAATTAAATTTGCCAACTTAGTTAATGTTACCTTTGAGAACGTATGTCAGCCCAGGAATGAAAATGAACATTAGACAACCCAGGGTATTTAAGATGGGGTATGTACAGTCTTTTTTAGTAGCCACTTAGTCACAAATTTTGCCCAAAGTAAGCGTCATATTTGTTTCTAGCATTTTTCACCAAAAAAAAAAAAATACTTTTTGCCTCGGTATAGCCCCAATAAAGTTTTCAAAGGTATTGGTAGTGCTTATAGTCATTGTAACGGCACCCACAGGCATAAAAGGGTTAAACCGCCATGTAGAAGATCTTCCCCTTCCAGAGACACAGGCAGCTACTGTAGACACCAATCCACCGAACCGGAGAAGCATATGAATGCTCTCAAACATACGAATACTGTAAACAGCCAAATAGGAAAAAACCATACGAATAGGTTTACACTCCTAGCAGTCGAACTGGAACAGCATGCAATAAATCCCCCCAAGAACGAGACAAGGCTCCGTTTTGAGTGTCAAGCAGGAACAGACAGAGCTGTGGGTTTATTGTGCTTATATACACATTCTTACACATTAGTACCACCCACAGGGTTTTAGAAAACAACCAATAAACACGTACGATACACTCAGACACTCCCACACAAAATCCTCCTCTCTGCCTGTGATACAATTAACTTACACAATGGGTAATGTAATTATCACAGGCAGAGAAATACAGTTTTTCCACATTATTCATAATTTTTAAATAATGAAAATTACATTTTCAGAATCCAAATACAAACATACATCAAAATCCTACAAATTGGCCCAGTGGTTCAAAAGATAGATCGTAGTCCTTTGTGACCAAATGAAGCGTGGCTTTTCTTCCCAAAACCAGTTCCACAGAGTCTTCTATCCTGGAGATAATTGGAAGTAATCCAATTATCTCCAAGGACAGAGGCAAAACTCCATTGAACACAGGCAGCAAAAGACAATAAAATGCATAAAAATATATACGTGTGCAGCCATTGCATAAAACAGGTACATTCAACATATATCCAGATAGCTCAGATCTGAGCGCACATTATTACTGGCGCTCAGATCACACAGATACAGTTCAATTGCCATGGAGCCAAAGTCTTTCCCATAGTCTTTCATTATACCAATGGGCTCCATGGCATAGCTATCTGGGGTATCACCGCTCAAACAGGGCAAGCACCGAATGACCCGGCTTTCGTGTCTTTGCAGGAGAAAATCAAGTGTTTCAACATGGGGCCATAGTCTAAAGGCAGCAGGCGGGCAACCAGGCTCCTCCAATGCACAGTGGCGAGATTGGTCTCGTCACAGTGATACTGAGTGTCCAGAACATCTTTGTTAAAATAGCTGGATGATCTACTTATGGTAGGGGGGAACATCCAAAGAAGATGGGAGCACAGAGGGATATAGTTCTCATTGAACTCGAGAGGTTTTGCTGGTTGATACATTTCAATAAGAACAGCCTCATACCAGCTCCGAAAATGATATTTCTGGATGCAGAATTCAAAACCCACCAGGACACCATTTTCCTATCCACATATTATGGAAGTTTTTCTCCCAGTTTATTAAATTATGCTTGGTAACAGCTAGAAGGTACATGCAACTCCTAGCAATCCTGACTTCCGATAGGCTCAATGGTATCTCATGGTTCCTCAGAAATTCTTCCTAGACCAGTTCAACAAGAGGTAGATGAACTGGAGCCACTGATGATATCATTATCAGTGAAGCTACACCTTTCCTGGTGGTTGAAAAAAGAAAATATGGCATGTTGTTTTTAGTTAACAGAACCTCACTGTATAGTGATAATCACGGATTTCAGTTCTTCAGGATTAGGTGTCTGGATCAAGTAACACAGGGTCTGTGGAGATGTAAGGAAATGATCTCCAGCTCCTACCTATGAGCTAGAAGACAAGGTATGGCTGCCCACACACAGAAACTAGGGCTACATAGAGCCCTTTAAGATAACCAAGGTTATCAATTCTGTCACAGTACATATGGACCTTCTGGCCTCGTATCGGGTTCACCCAGTGTTCCATGACCACCTTCTCATGCCTTGGAAAACTTGCCTTATTAGACATCCTGGTTGGCCAACCCAAGTTTGCACCCTGAGTCCGCGCCTTTAGAGACGGTCCTCAGGGTCTGCTGCTCCTGTGATTCTCCCGGCGGTCTGGTTTGACTTTCTCCATCATTGCTGGGCACTGTAATGGCGCAGCAGCAGCAAGAGGATGGCCACCATGTAGATGTTGGCATGTGGAAAAGCTTGGGCGGGAGGTGCTGGGGGAGCAGGTGAGAGGAGTTTTGGTGCAACCAAGATGGCACCAGGTTCCGGCTACAGCTACTGGGGGATCCATATACAGGGAGGTGGGGGTTGGTCACATGACCTACCTCTCAATAAAAATTCCCAAGCACTATACTTGGTCAGTGCTTTGTTGTTCCGGTGCTTGACCCTGATTCTTGTTCCTGACCCCCGATTTATGGTTCCTGGTTCCTAATTCCAGGTAAAATTTCTCAGTTTCTGACTTTTAGCTCTGATCGTGACCACGCTTCTTGTCTCCAACCATTGGCCTCTGGCATCCTGTTCCATATTCATAGATTTCCTGGTTTCTTCAGCTTGACTCTTGACCTCACTCTTTCGCTGCCAGCCTTTACCACTAGACCACCTGACACTACTTCCTTCTGCTCCTTTCTGGCTTCATCACTAACTCTGTGAATAAAGTCACCCATACCCTCATTGATGTCTCAGATTCCCATATCACTCTCGGGCACCTGAGAAGGTCGTGTTTGCAAGAGCTTGCCATTCCTTTGCAACTGAGTTTTCTCTCCAAGCAAGCCAACCATTAGGTTGTCAGACTGCCCTATTATTGGCCAATCCTCATGTCCCAGTGGGAAGTCAATGCCAATGAAGTGGTGGGAAGATTTATGGATTTTCCTTTGCTATTTAAATTTTTTTCCGAAATGTCTCAAATGGAATTCCACCTCTTGCTGACATCCCATCATAGACAGTGTGTTGTAAGCCTTCTGGTTTCTTGCTCATCACACACTAAGGTTGAAATGCTGGCGAATCCTCCTTTATGTCCACTTCATGAATTGCAGCCTTTTCTACAAGATATATAACTGGTGTAGGCAACCTTTGGCACTCAAGATGTTACAGGCTACATCTCCCTTGATGCTCTGCCTACATTATGGCTGGAAGAGCATTATTGGAGTTGTAGTCCACAACATCTGGTGTGCCGAAGGTTGCCAACCACTGTGCATCAAGTGGAACCTTTCTTTTTATTTAAACTTTTACTGAACAAGGCATTACCCATAACTAGAGTTGAGTGGACACCTGGATGTTCAGGTCCGGCGGGTTCGGCCAAACTACGGAAAGAAGTCCGGGTTCGGGATTGAACTTGACCCCGAACTTGACCCCGAAGTCAATGGGGACCCGAACTTTTGGGCACAAAAATGGCTCTAAAAAAGTCCTGGAAAGGGCTAGAGGGCTGCAAAAGGAAGTAAAATTGGGGTAAGAGTAGGACAAGTGCCCTGCAATCAAATGTGGACAGGGAAATCACTTAAAATACATAAAATAAGCAGCCGCTTAGTAGATAACTCCATGATAACATGTATTCCTGACACCATAGTTGTGAAAACGCTATTCACCCTGGCTTTATGTGATAATGACTATGCTCCTCCCCTTCATGACACTGTCAAAAAGGGGCCAAGCATGGATGTCATTACAATTAGCCCCCCCCCCCCGAAAAATTCCTGCAGACATCCATGTTCATGAGATAAGAGTACAGTCCAGTCTTATTTAAAACAAAAGAATTACAAATAAATTATCATAGTGCAAAGTAAAGTTCTACCAAGTGTAGTGATAAAGTGAAGTAATAGCTTACCATGCCATCAGGAGCAATGTAGTGTAGTGCTCCTAACAAAGTCGTGCTGACACAGCAAAAAACATGTCGCACAATTACTTCACTCTATCACTACACTTGGTGGCACTTTACTTTATTCTATGATAATTTATTTGTAGTTCTTTTCTTTTGACTAAGACTAAGCAAGGGAGAGTGGTTTAGGTAAGCTGAGGTATTTTTAGGGTGAGATTTGTTGATGTTTTTACTGGTAAGGCTTTTCTTATAGATCCTCCAACCCTCATCTCTATCCTTACCTCTACTTTTAATTTGCCTATACCTTTCTATTTTTTATTTTCGCTTGGGTGAATACTACACTGGAGTGATATCCTGAGACTCCTATATCTATCCAGTTCCCTGACACTCAAGGTCTCTCTCTTGGGGGACATTTCATTGAATAATCCTTGAGCAATGTTTAGTTTCTGTCCCCATCACTGTCTTAGCCGTTTATACTTTTATTTACTTACCTAGAATTAATAAAGGTAGGGCCCGTCCCTCACTGTTTTGGTCGTTCTCCTCTCTAAGAGAGGGTTCCTATTTTTACAGCAGTTACCTAAACCTTGTCTCACACATGGATCAATAACACAGACTATTTTTCACTCCCACACAGGCACAGCAAGGGTAAAACGCATAATTACTGATGGTCTATCTACCTTAATAGCTTTAATCAAATTGCCTGGAAGAATACTTCTTGGACTAATGGATTTTTTTACTGCTTCTCTTTCCCTCTATAGGTCAATTGTCACTTCATCTGTCAATAAAATCCATGCTGTCCCCTAACCATGAATGAACTTTTATCCACCTCTTGATTGGACAGGATTTAAAGCCCACATGATTGACCACCATGGAAAACTAAACTGCTTATTTGCTGCCGTTTAATTCCCCTTTTTTTGGTGCCAGGAATGGAACTCTGAATTACAAATGATAACAAATATGCTTGTCCATTTTGCAAATTGTCTGTTTTGTGACCCTGATATATGGCAGTTCAGAGTTACGAAATCTGGACAATCACCTGATTTGCCCAAATTTGTATGAATTGCTTCTCAAGACCTATTGAATTTACAAGTCTAATTTTAATAATGTTTCATTTTCAGTAAACTTTCACACAACATGACCTTCATTCTGGATTTTGTTACCACCTCTGTCACTATATATATATGTGTGTGTGTGTGTGTGTGTGTGTATATATATATATATATATATATATATATACACACCTTTATCTTTCTTTAATTATTTCTATCTAGGAGTTTCACATCATACTTATTCACAAAGAAAACAAATACATTTTCAACAAACACTATCCAATTCACACTCATATACGGTTTCTTTGTAGTGTGTATTTCTCTAGGTGCTTGACATCTTATCTATCTACGTTTTTCAATCATTTCACATAGTGACACTGGATGCAAATGTTGGTTTTAGTGATAATGGAAAAGTAACCAGAAAAGTAAACATTGAACGTGCCAGTCTCATTGACCTTTTATAAGAGTACTGGTTGTAAGACCAAGGAATTCAGCACCCTGTGACCTTTATCATTTAGGACATGTGTTAGGCCATTTGTATATATATATATATATATATATATATATATATGCATTAGCCCCTCAGAGCAGAAATATGAAGCCTTTAGATTACTAAGCTACATATTAAGTACAGAGCATTAAAACTGGATTCATTTTGTCATTATTGCTTGTTTTATTGGAAATTATACAATCAAGCTTGCACGTATTGTTATGAATCCAAATATTCATTTTTTTGTATGTGAAAATTCTCAGAGGTATTACTACACCCTGGAAATGTTGGAATTAATTAATATTAATCTTCAGAAATTGTTCAGAATCACTAACACAAATAGAAGAATGACTATGTATTTCTAAATAAACTTTCAGACCAGAGAGATTAATAAAGGGTGTGTGACTGATTTCATAAGAAAATCACAGCTGCAAGCTAAAATAAGTGGGAAAGAAAATATGTGGTTCACATTTATGACAGATGTTTTATACATAGCATTATTACGGTCTTATATGCCTTGCCTTCATTCCACCCTCATATTATTGGTGCATGTATGAAAGTAAACTTCAAAGCTTCTTTGTGTGGTGATTTATATCACACAATAAATAAACATATACTTTGATATATAGAGACTACATCTCTATATGTTCAGATTAAGTGGACTTCTATTCTTCACCTTCTACAAATATTTCATTTGGACACCTCATAAGATCATTTGATGTCTATTACCACTTATTTGTTAATTATGCTAAAATATATTTCTCTTTTCATTTGACTTTCATGCTTCTACCATATGTCACTAAATGCCTTTCAGTCATCTCTTCTGCATTGATCCAATGCTGCCTTAAACGCTGTAAAATTGAACCAATCATCTGAACTCCTGCCACTTTCTCACCA